CTTTACAATGAAAGAACTCACAAACGCCGCCCAGAGCTTCAACCCAAGGAAGGCTCCTGGAGAAGACGGCATAACGGCAGACATAGGCCTGAACGCAATAACTGCAGCTCCGGGTCTATTTCTCGCCATAGCTAATAAATGCCTAGAGCTGGGAACCTTCCCTGAAAAGTGGAAGAAAGCTACAATAGTGGTCTTGAGGAAGCCGGCAAAAGCTAACTACGATAACCCAAAGTCATATAGGCCCATTGGACTGCTTCCAGTGATGGGGAAAATATTTGAGAAAATGGTCGTCGAGCGCCTGAAATGGTACCTAGTACCGAAAACATCAAAACACCAATTCGGATTCATGCCCCAACGCAGTACGGAAGACGCTCTCTACACCGCGGTTAATCATATACGCAGAAAGCTGATACAGAAAAAGATACTGACGGTAGTATCGTTGGACATAGAGGGCGCCTTCGATAGCGCATGGTGGCCTATGATTAGAGTCCGACTGGCGGAAGAGAAATGCCCTCGTAATATAAGGAAAATCATGGATAGCTACCTGATGGACAGAAAAATAAAACTAACTTATGCAGGCCAGACGGTAGAAAGAGACACGACAAAGGGGTGCGTACAGGGATCGATCGGCGGGCCCATACTCTGGAACCTTTTATTGGACCCACTCCTCAGAGAGATACAAGAGACAGGAGTACACGTCCAGGCTTTCGCAGACGACATACTCCTGATATCAGAAGGGGAAACGGGGCAAGATAACCAAACCAAGCTAAACAAGGTTCTGGCTCGTGTATACGAATGGGGTTCCCAAAACAAGCACCGGTTTGCGCCTCACAAAACCAAAGCAATGGTTGTGACGCGCAAACTAAAATACGATGACCCGATTTTGAGCATGAATGGAGAGCCAATAAAAATGGAAAAAAGTATTAAAATACTGGGAGTGGAGGTGGACTCGAGCCTTACATTTAATGCGCACGTAGACCAGGTGTGCCAAAAATCAATAGGGAAAAATTTTATACATCATTTTGTTCTATCATTAATAGTTTTCGCAGCGCACGCGATTGAAGGAAGTTTTTTTGTTTTTTTTTTTACACCTTGGGTATAAAGTCAAAGTCAAAGTCAAATCGTTTATTTCAATTAGACCATCTAAAATGGCACTTTTGAACGTCAAAAAAAAAAAAATATATAAAGATGATTCTAGTTGCCCCTTCCAAAAGGTAGTTTCGTGTGGAGAAGAATGGGCAAGAAACTCCACACTTACTCTTTTAAAATAGGTTTACAATATTTTGTTACATTTGTTAAATAATTATATGTGAAGACAATGTACTCTTAGAATAAACTACTATACTAAAAAAGTTAGTATACATGTTCCTCACATATTTACAAATATCGAAACCTTAGAATATTAACATTAAAGAGTAATAAAAATTTTAAAAAAACACAACAAAACAGTGTGTGAGATACAAAAAAAAAATAATTACATTTGTAGCATTAGGTATATAAATTAAAAAAAAATAATAATAATAACAAAAATTAACATATTTTTTTTTAGCAAAAAATCAGCAACCAATTTGATTTTGTCCAGGCTATAGAGCCAATCATAGGATTGTCCTATGGAGCAGGACCAGCATGTTTCCAAGCATTCTTATCTTGAATATAATCATCTAATTTGTAATATGCTTGTTTACAAAGTGTACTTTTAATAAAACATTTAAATTTTCGTTCATTTAGTTTTAAAATGTCACAAGGTATTTTATTGTAACATTTCACACAGTACCCCATAAATGAATTTTGAACTTTGGCTAATCTGAAAGATGGTTCAGCTATTTTATCTTTATTTCTAGTACTAAAATTATGTCTTTCATTTATTTTACTAAAAAGATGTAGATTCTTTCTTACATACATAATATTTTCATAAATGAATTGGCAAGGTACTGTCATAATATTAATCTTTTTAAATAGTTCCCTGAGAGATTCGCAACGACGTAGATTATAAATGGCTCTGACCGCTCTCTTTTGCAAAATAAAAATGGATTCTATGTCAGCAGCCCGACCCCACAGTAAAATGCCGTAAGACATTATGCTGTGAAAGTAGCTAAAATAGACCAAACGCGCAGTTTCTACATTGGTTAAATATCTTATCTTTCTAACCGCATAAACGGCTGAGCTCAGCCGCCCCGCAAGAGATGTGATATGAGGTCCCCATTGTAACTTCTATAGATTATTCAAGTTTTAGTAAGCATCCCTAATTTTTTTAAATGAAACATAGCCTATGTCACTCGGGAATAGTGTAGCTTGCCAACGGTGAAAGAATTTTTGAAATTGGTCCAGTAGTTTCGGAGCCTTTTCATTTCAAACAAACAAAAAATCTAATCTTTACAAAAAAAAATATTTTTATTTACATACCTAATAATTATAATAATAATAATAAGCCTTATTATTTCCTGTTGTACAATAGTTGGTAGTTGCTATAACCAAAAATATTGATTTTGTTGGTAGGTTAGCTTAGATTGATTAGATTACATTTTAATAAAAATAAACTCTTACATAATAAACAGTATGGTTTCACTAAGGGTCGCTCCACAATCGATGCCGGTGTGAAGTTGATTTCGGACATATTTAACGCCTGGGAAGAATCATATGATGGAGTCAGCGTCTTTTGTGACCTGTCAAAGGCCTTTGACTGTGTTCATCCTGATATACTCGTTGGAAAGCTTCAACACTATGGCGTTGATGGCAAAGCTTCCAGCCTGATGAATTCATATTTAAAGGGAAGGATCCAAAGAGTTCATGTCAATGGAGTCACCTCTCCGGGTTCGCAGGTATCAATGGGCGTCCCCCAAGGATCGATTCTCGGGCCTTTCTTATTTCTAATTTACATAAATGACCTCCCATTCTTTGTCAACGAAGTTCATGAGATGGTATTGTTTGCTGATGACACTTCACTTCTATTTAAAGTGAATAGGAATAACGTATTATTGGACGATGTAAACAATTCTATCTCTCGTATAGTCAACTGGTTTAATGTAAAAAACTTACTGCTTAACGAGAATAAAACAAAATGTATTCGATTTACAACTACTAGCGTAAAGCGAGATATTGGTAACCTGAAAATAAAGGACAGTGAACTAAACTTTGTTGACAAAACTGTTTTTCTAGGAATAACAATAGATAGTAAACTCCAATGGGGCCCACACATAGATACTCTTTCGAATAGGCTGAGCTCTGCAGCATATGCAGTAAAGAAAATCCGACAGTTTACTGATAAGGACACGGCAAAAATTGTTTATCATAGCTACTTTCACAGCGTTATGTCGTACGGTATTCTACTGTGGGGTGCTGCTGCAGAGGTTCAATCCATATTTGTGCTGCAGAAGCGGGCTGTTCGGGGTATTTGTTGTGTTTCTCCGAGGGAGTCGGTACGGAATAAGTTTAAGGAATTAAATATTATGACACTATCTGGTCAATATATTCTTGAAGCCTTGTTGTATGTCCAAAAAAATATAAACGATTTTAAAACAAATGGTGACTTTCACCAGTATAATACGCGAAATAGAACTAATTTGAGTGTAAGACCAACCAGGCTCCAAAAGATAAACCACTCCTTACATGGAAATTGTATTCGTTTTTACAACAAACTCCCAAGCGAAATTAGAGTATTATCACTAAATAAATTCAAAGCCCTCGTTAAACGAAAATTAATCAACAAAGCTTTTTATAAATTTGAGGACTACTTAAATGATCCTAATCCTTGGGATTGAATTGCTCCAGTTCAAACAATTTGTATGACAATACTTGGCGATTAAAAAGAGTGGCGGAAAGTTTCTTGCCAGTTCTTCTTACCCGCTCTACGCCCTTGACTTGCGAACTGGTAGTAAATGTAAATTTACGATTAATTTAACTTGACGATTCAAAAGTGTACTTGGTTACCAACTTGAATAAAGATATTTTGAGTTTGAGTTTGAGATTGTGTTAGTAATATATATGTCGCAGTAAAGTAATTAAATCAGGGAGCTATATATTATTTTATTTACATGAGAAACTTAATATAATATACGAACGAGATACGCGTCGCGTATAATTGAGAATATATAAACCTTGTTATTTTATGCAATTTCATTAATGAACAAAGTTTATTTATTTTTATTTATTACACAAAATACATACATTATCCTTACAGACTATGCTAATACGATAATGTCGAGAAACTTTAAATAAAATATAATAAAGTACTTATATAATGAATTTCACTTTTATTTTCATGATAAAATATATTTCTACACACTGTTTGTATCACAAAGAACATGAAGAAAGGCACACAGTTGTCAATTGTAAGAATAAGGAGGAATTAGTATGTTAGACCGATAATATTTATATAACCTACTAATACTTTGCCTTTAAAATAGTTCAGAATATGGAAAAAACACTCACTAAGAAATTATAAAATTGTGTAACTAATAATTGGCAAAATCTGAGTGATGACACCACCTCCAGTAGAACAGATTTTGTAACGAGGCAGACCAAAACACAGAGGTCGATCTTACGTATATTTACGATCTTGGCATTTTCGGATCGATGACACCTTGATTAGAAAAGGCCCAGCAAAATTGGTGCCTGCACCTGAAGGGTCTATCAGGGTAATCCGATCGCGAGGCAAATCTCCCGAACACTTAACAATTCACCTGCTAAAGATTCATCCCATGTCAATCCTTGTAAACCTCAGCTTAAAATATTAAGGCCCCAGTACACAATGGCCCATGCGGGCCCACTACAGGCCATCGCCATTGTGTACAGGGGGTAATGGTATATGATGGCGGACAATTGTCAATCGTGGCGCGCAATCGGGGAGTTGTCGGTTTTTTGGGCACACTCCAAAGGAATCGTGGCGTAGCGTGGCCTGTGGTGTTTACACAATCGGCTATTGTTTAGTTCGCCACCGACCGCTGACCGGGATAGTACACTGTTGTGTTTCGTGCTAGAACTAGAATTTTCGATCGTCCAAAATGTCAATATCGTGGAGCAATGAAGAAACTTTCAAGTTTATTGATTTATATCAATCTGAGCCCGCACTTTGGGACCTAAATACTGCACTGCACAAGGATAAGAACAAGGTATGTTTATACTATTTTTATGTTGATAGAAATGATGTATACTATCTATCTATAGTTATACTTTTATACTAATATTATAAAGAGGAAGGATTTAAATTGTTTGTTGGAATTGAATAGCCTCCGAAACTAATGTACCTACCGATTTGAAAAATTATTTTAGCATTAGAATCCTACATTATCCCTGATGAAAATAGGCGATAAAAAAGCCTCGTCTGAAAATAATATGTAGTATTGTGGGTACGATGTTTTAAGGTGAATGATGCATGGAATCGCATTGCAGACTCCCTGCAAATTCCTGTTTCGGAACTTAAAAAAAATAAAGAGACATTGATGTCAGCATTTCGGATGCATTTCAAAAAAAACAAGATTCGATCCGATCTGGTATAGGAGAAGAAGAAATTTATAAGCCAATTTGGGTTTTTTATGATGCTATGAAGGCATTTTTGAAAGGAAAATATACATGCAAAAGTATTATATCGACAGATGAACAAAGGGTAAGTAAAACAATTAAATAGTTTCCAATGTTTTTTATTAATTAGTAAGTACGTATTTACTCTTTTACTACATTACTTAGTTTCCTCTGCGTTGAAACAGCCTCTGCACATGGGGCTGTCTGTCGCGCCTAGGACATAAAGGTGTTTATTAAGGAGGCAATGGCCCGTGATTGTCCCTATCATTATTTTGAGGTTATTTCTGGTTAGATTTAAAAGTTGTTTAGTCATTCTTGTGTTAGTCACTGGCAGAACCAATTTGGATTGCCTGCAGTCCACACTTGATGACCAACGTTGGTGCTGGAGTTCCTCAGATCTCTGGCGAATCCATGTTCGCACTTGCGAGAAGGGCAAGGGTAGGAGCGGATACGGGCCTGCCGGCAACATTTCCGAGCCTCTCCTCGCAAGCTCATCGGCTGCGTCATTGCCGAGAGATCTGCTGTGTCCCTTAATCCACTGTAGGGTGACCCTGTTCGTCAAGGCTAATGCCTCCAGTGCATTGTGGCACTCCAGCACCAGTTTGCTGTTTGTCGTGTCACCCCCTAACGCCATCAGCACAGACGCGCTGTCGGATACGAGCTTAATACAAAAGTTATTAACTCCCAACCGCTTTACGCCTCTGGCTGCTTCGGTTAGGGCAACACACTCGCATTGAAAAATCGAACTGTGTATGCCTAGGGGTAGGTGTGTTTTGATGTTGAGATCTTGAGAGAATATGCCAGCACCGGAGCCGCTCCCTGTCTTTGAGCCATCAGTGTATATGCGTAGCTCGTTCGCGGTCGATCGATCACATTCCTCTTCTCTCAGTTGTACATGGTATTTCTTGTTTAGCATGTGTTGATTAACAATCCTATCGCATGGCGCAGCTATTAGCGGTTGGTATTCTATTGCCCTGTTTAGGATCGCTGTGTGTGTGCTGTAATGATTTTTACCCCATAAATCCAGTACCATAAGCCTGATGGCCGCCAATGCTGCCTCCTGCTGTATGTGTATGTCAAGGGGTGCAACTTGGAGGGCTAGCTCCAATGCTGAAGTTGGCGTTGTTTTCATGCAACCACTGGCAGCGGACAAGGCAAGCCTTTGGAAGCGCCCAAGTTTAGTTATTACTGTTTGGAGTTCTGTCCTCGGCCACCAGACTAGGGCTCCATAAGCCAGCATTGGCCTGATTACGGCAGTGTAGAGCCATAGCGTAATCTTAGGCGATAAGCCCCATTTGACGCCTAGCATCTTTTTACATTGATAAAAGGCAATCGTGGCCTTGTTTAGTTTATGTTCAAGGTGTTTGTTCCAAAGCAGTTTGCTGTCTAGAATCACACCTAGGTACTTGACGTTTTCTTTTAGTTTTAGTTCTGAGTTGAAGAGTTTTGGTAGCCTGTACGAGCCAAGAACCCTTCGGTTTGTGAACAAGACTAGTTCCGTTTTTGACGGGTTGACAGATAGCTCGTGCTGATTGCACCATCTCTCAATTACTCTGAAAGCCTTCCTCATGCGATCACATAAGGTGCTTTCAAAGTTCCCCGATGTTAGGATAGCTATATCATCCGCATACCCTACTGTGTAGAGATTGATAGCGTTTAGTTCTGTGATGAGCTCATTTACCACTAGATTCCACAAAAGTGGTGAAAGGACACCGCCCTGTGGGCAACCCCTGCTGACAACACCACGCGTGGTGGTGTTCACGGTGAACTGTATGGCTCGATGTTTCAGCATGTTATTTATCCACTCTGTAAGGGTCGATGGTACTCCACAAGTGACAAGTGCATTGGTAATGCTCGTGAAGTTCGTTTTGTCAAATGCACCTTCAATGTCAATGAATGCGCCGAGGGTTGACTGCTTTATTTTCAGTGAGTTGCCAATGCGGGATACTACGTTATGGAGTGATGATTCTGTTGATTTGCCTGAGCTGTAGGCATGCTGATTAGGATGGAGGAATTTAGCCAATGTTACCCGACTGCGTATCTCCAGGTCTCCCAGTCTCTCCAGTGTTTTGAGGAGAAATGATGTGAGACTGATGGGTCTGAAGGACTTTGCTTGGGTATAGTCCTCCCTTCCTGGTTTAGGTATAAAAATGATTTTTACTTCTCTCCATTTCAGAGGTATGTAGCGGTGAGCTATGCAGGCTCGGAATAATGGCACCAGATAGTCCACTATAAGGCTCCCACCCCATCTTAGTAGGCCTGGGAATATCCCGTCCAAGCCCGCAGCTTTGAATGGAAGAAAAGAGTTGATCGCCCATGTTACCTTTTCTCTTGTGACTATTTTGTCAGCTACCTGCCAGTCGGAGTTGACGGTTGCTCTTTCCGCGTATTTCTGCCATGTCTGCTCGTTGGCAATTGTACAGCCAGGAAAGTGAGTCGCCAGCAGTAGCTCACATGTTTCTTCGTCAGTTTTTGTATATGTGTTGTCAGGTTTTTTTAGGCAGCCGACCGAGTGATAGGTTTCCCTAGAGAGGCATGATTTCACTCTGTTTGCCTGGTTGTTGTTTTCAATACAATGGAGACACTTCTGCACTAGCAGAAGTGTCTCCAGCACTCTTGCTTTCTAGTACGAAGAAGTTTCTTGAACCGCCGTCTAGCGACTGTATACTTGTCCCAATCCCTAGGCATCATTGTGTTGCCCGCTCTATTGAACAGTTTCCTGACCTTCCGGCGGTGTCTCTCCAGTTCGGGGCACCACCAGTTCTGTTTGCCCCCCATCTTGGCATGGTGAGGGGGCATGACTGCTCATAGCTTGTCAGAAGTAGGGACGTTAGGTTATTTGCATGTTTGTCTATGTCTTGTGCATCAATTATTGTTGGTAATGTTAGTTTTGCTATCTCGGAGCTGACTAGTTTGTGAAATTTTCCTGAATCAGTTCTCCGAGGTATTCTTCTAGGTTGTGGTTTAGGTAGGTCCCCTTTGATTGCAAAGCGGATCCACCTGTGATCCGAGCATGATAATTCACCAGACACATGCCAGTCATGTATCTGGTCTGACAGGCCTGGCGTTATCAGTGTTAAGTCAATTATGGTTTTTGAACGTGCGTTGATAAATGTTGGTTCTGAGCCGCTGTTTGCTAGGATAAGATTATTACTAAGTATGAAATTAAGCATATTCTCACCTCGAGCGTTGGTATTAGCTAATGCTAATACCAACGCTCGAGGTGAGAATATAGCTTGTGATGTGCATTGGAGTCTGCTGCTATGATGAGCTCCAGTTGCTCCCTCTCGCAGTAGTCGGCTAGAAGACCGAGTTCCGGAGTGGGCACGTCCTCGTCGCCAGGTAGGTAGGCTGACGCCAGGACAATGTCTGGAAGCTCGTTCCTGGGTAACCTAACAACTGTGAGGTCCCTTGAACATAGTTCGTTTATTAGTAATGCTGGTACATGTTTGGGTATTAGTATGCAGGTTCTTGGGTTACTTACGCGGGTGTCCAGTAAGGTTTTACCACCGGTGTTACCCAGGCCGCATATCTTGCCATTCCGGATCCACGGCTCCTGGATTGCGGCGATGGTCTTGGGGTTGGTCTCCAGCAGTCTGCGCAGGGAAGCCGACGCTGTTTGACTATGCTGGAGGTTGGCTTGAATAAGGTCAGTTCGGCGAAGGGGAGGAGCGCAGACAGCTGTCGCTGAGTTCACTCCCCCCGGTCTCCTGAAATAACTCCTCATCCGATGTTAGTTGTGCCGTCTCCATGGGAACGTGAGTCTTGGTCACTCGGCCATCCGCAGCCTTCTCCGTCAGTGACGTGGAAGGCGTTGGCCTCGGTGTCACCGTCCCCGATGTGCTGGCAATGGCTTGAGGCGGGGCGTCAGCCACCTGCGAGGGTTCATCCCTATACAGGATGCGGATATAAATGTTCCCCAGCAGATAGTAAACACGCCTGTCTTGTTTCTTGATCGTTACGATCTCGGACTCTGGCACACGGAAGAAGAGAGAGACGCCTGTCGGGTCCTTCGTTCTCCGCTCGTGCGTCAGGGTCCACGATCTGATGTTGTAGTGGCGGTTCTGCCTCAAAATCAGTCTCATCAGGTTCTCCGTGCTGTCAGAATAATCTGGGACGTGTAGTAAGCATGGAACCTTTCTAGGGATTGCTGACTGAGGCCTAACTACCAGCCTGGTGTCTGGTATAGGGTTGGTAATGGCATCGCAGGTACTGGTCAGCCACCTCAACGCGTAGGCGTCCTCGCACCACATTTTCAGGACGCCATCTGCGAAGTGGGCTTTGCCCCGGAACCTGATGTCGTTGGTTTCTTCTGTTAGAGGAGCTGCAAAATCCGCCATTAGCTCGTCATGCAGCTTACCCTGGATTTGTAGGCGGATGGCTTCCGCCTGTTCTTGGGTCATGTCAAGGAAGGGCTCGGTCATTACAGCAACACAGAACTCATTAGTTTTGTATGCTGCCGCCGCTTCCGCGTAGCTGGCCGAGGTCCCTCCCACCGTTCGAGGTCGGTTAGGTTTTACCCTTTTCCTTTCCCCAGTCGGTGTAACTGAGTCCTCAGGCCGTACACGTTTCTGGCCCTTCTCTCGTTCATTGGTTTTCGGTTTCTTGCTGTTTGCGGGTCTCGTGCTGCACTTGGAGCCGTCAGGCCTTAGCGCGGCATTCGACGCCGTCGGCTTCGGTTCCCATCTCCTGCCACCTGTTGCTCTGCTAGCTCCAGGGGCTGGTTTTGGGTTAACAGGTGGTCCTTGAGCAGCAGCTAACAGCTCCTGCCGTTCTGCCGCCCTTCTGACCCTGTTGAGCCGTCGCCTCTTTGATGAGCTCAAAACCATAGTCATGGTCGGTTCCTGTATTGCGGTTTTCAGGGCCGTCATGTCCATGGCTGAGGACGCTGCACCGGGTACATTCACCGTCTCTGACACGGTATTCCGCATCGGTCTAACCGTGGATGCCACACCTTCAGACGCATACAATACTGTTGCATCATCCAGAGTGGCCTCCTTTGGCTCAACCGACGCAGTTAACCTAGCCGCGACGGAGGACGCTTCCCTGTGCAGTGGTTTTGTCGTTTCTGTTGGATTGGGTACGGTCCTGGGTGCAGCCCGGTTTGGCTTGTCCCCAGTCGATTCCCTTTCCTTCGATTCACTGGACGCTGCCGGGATTGGCGCATCCTTGTGAGAAACAGGGGCATCAAAGTGTCGTGTCACTGGCGCCTTGCACCGTGACCCGTCCTGAGACGCAACCCTGTGTTGTTTGTTATGCTTAATTGTTTTTGAAGCCTCTTTGTCCATGAGGTGTTAGGTAGTAAATTCACCGTCAGAGCTCTCCACCCGCCACGGAGTCCTCAGTCGGGGGCGTCACTTGCTCAGCAAGCAAACGCCAGAGCTACTCCTCCGGTATAGAGCCAGAGCGTAGGAAGGCAGACGCGTCCGCACGCTGCCAGGAAGTACGGAGCTGTTCGCATCACGAGACGATGACGCAAACTCACCCCGAGTCCCGAGCCTCGCCGACGGCCCCCCCACACCCCGACTCTCGCTTGGTAGCCCGCTTATGGGATACCGCAGCCGGTTGACCACAGGTAGCTAGTCCATGGCCTCCCGTGTGAGGGGAAATCCAGACCAAAGAGGCGTGTTGTGTGCAGCGCACAACTGTTCCCGGCGCACTGTCACACTCAACCCCCAGGACTCCTTCATCCCCCCCGTACGGGTCCCCGCGCACGGCACAAACACGCGGGAGGTCATTTACTGTCCACCATCCTATCTTTTTGGATGATGAACTTGCAAGGACATGACCTCTCCATCCCTGCAATTAATCGCTTGGTGGTTTCAGTTGCGTCTATTACATAGGGTAATAGACCAAAAACGGGGTCGGCAACCTCGAGAAGGATAGTCCACCAAACTTGCCTTGGGGATCTCAGTGACCTGCACTCCTCCCAAGACCACGCCACCCTACCCATCAGAGGGATGTGGTAGGGTAGGTCTGCACCTGTGATACCATGCGATGCAAACATGTCGTACTGGGAACCGTAAAAACACAGACCAGACCTTCCCCTAATACGTTAAACCAGGCTATTCTCAATAAAGACCAACAAAATAAAATAGAGGACGACTGCGATTTGTATGGGAGGCTTCTTGCTAACAAACTCAGAAAATATTCAGATAATGAGAGACAAGAAATAATGTACGATATTGATGGATTACTATTAAACGGCGTCGCAATTGTAGTCCTCAGTACGTGTCTTCACCTTCTCAAATCATTATAAGTAAACGCCCGTCTTCTTCAGCCACCAGCTATTCTTGTCCATCACCGTCGTCACCTTGGATCAATCGCCCCTCATCATTAACGTCTTCAAATCATTCTTATATTATAATTACTTCTCCTATACAAAGCCCATCACCAATTCCACCTGCGCAAACTCCATCCCCTCTTCCACCTACTGAACTCCCTAATGCCTCATACACACAAGAAGTCGTTTATCAATCCCCCAACAGAATCCATACACCTGTCCCTACGATCCATATACCTGAGGGATCCATGCAAATAATTTCTGACGAATTGTATTCTCAGACACAGAGTCAGTCTGAAAATATTTTGGCTGATGCTTATGCAAGAGCTTTGAATAACGATTGTAAAATAACCAATTAAAAAAATATAGTGGGGCAATAATTATTGATTAAAAAATTTAAAGTATATACAAATGTTTTATTAACTCACCTTAATCATGTCCTTTAGCACTTGGTTCAGAGCCAAACATACTTCAGGAATAATTCTAGATATATGAGTGTACTTGATATTTTAAAATGGTAGTGCAGGCTCCTATAACTGTCTCCAGTCGCAAGAAATCGCAATGTCAATGCCAATCTTATTTTTGGAGGTATTGCTTCTCGCCAATATGTATCCTTTTTTGCAATAATTGGCGATATTTTTTGCAATATATATTCAAAATCACAAGATGACATACGAACAAAGTTATCGAATTCCCCTGATGGTTCTGCAACAAGGTCGCTTAACAGATTGTCCATGAATTGCCTGAAAACGGTAAAAAAATTCTTAGTCATGTTACGTTAACATTCTAAATCATAACCTAAGTACCACATTAAAAAATCTACGTACCTTGTCCTGTTTCGATGAATGGTCAGCATCCACCATCGCCTTTTTCGCCATTTCTTTTTTATAACTTTGTGACGGTACACACTTCTGTAATACTTGTAAACAGTATACAAATAAATAGCCGCAGCCGTAATTACTTCGACGTCCATCGCAAGTGGTTTGCCAGGCAGCAATGAGCCATGCGCCATTGTGTGAACACCAAGTGATCGTGGCCTACAATTGTGCATTGCAAAGCGTGGCCCATCATAGGCCATTGTGTACTGGGGGCTTTAGACATTTTGGATAAAAAACAACTGGAGCTAACTTAACAAGTGACACATCCACTTCTTAAATTACCATCATATCCAATATACCCACTAAATTATCTAAAATAATGGCAGAAGTTGTAATCTGTGGACGAGAACATAGAACGGGAGGAATAGTGTAACTCGTCCCCGCAAACCTTTAGTCCACCTTCACCAAGTAACCCCTGCTAGCAGGCTAAATACGCAGCTGTAACCTCTCCACCAATTCCATTGACACCGAACTTCCCTGTGCTCCAGAATTCAAAATCGCACTCGTGCGTACTTGCTCACCAACAACCAACAACGTTTGTTCAACTTAATTTAAATACTACCGCTGTTGCTATCTTTTTATTAAACGTTAATCTGGAATAATGTGAGTACAAATACGATTGTTTTATTTAAACAACATTCTTATCTCAACTGGGTCTCATCAACTGAATTATATTACACGAGACATTTTACAATCATGTAGATCATTGTGATTTTCATTTTCTACGTATGACAAAGATAACATTAATTATATAAAAGAGATGAATTGTATTTAAATAGCACAGTCATTGTTTACTCTGTTTAGTGAATTGTGCGTTAATTGTACCCAAATTGCACAATAAATATAAATCGCTTATTTTGTTACGGATTTTGATGTCTTGATAAAGTTATACACTGGTTACCTCAGCTGCGTAAAATGGATACATCAAGGAAAGTACAGTTTGAGGAAGCGTTAAATTTAACCGGTGAGTAAGAAATGTTTTGTAAATAATATAGTAAAATAACGTACTTACTTCTTTTGGCCTCTACATCATCAAACATCGACGCAAGCCCTAAAATTACTTTGTTTCAGGATTCGGCAAATTCAACTACGTAACATTACTGGTGAATGTTTTAGTGATACTTAGTGTTGTGTTTGAGATTTATTCCGTTTCCTATGTCGTACCAACAAGTGCCTGTGACTTGCAGACTACAGTTTATCAACAGGGGTTGATTGCTAGTACACCCATGGCCGGTGAGTAATGAATAATACTGGCTTCTAAAAGGCGTATCAAACTGTCATATCAGTACAACCATCACAAACAGTGATCGCATCCAGACACTATGTAAATGTTTTAGCATAAAACAATTGCAAAACTATGGATTCGAAATCTACCATATTGAGTAATATCACTGAATCTAATACACATGACATACACCATTGTGGATATTTTGTAATTATCCTCTTCGATCTATCTTAATCGAATACTCGTTGAATACTTTCAGGTATTATAATAACATCGAATTTTTGGGGGTATCTGGCTGATACGAGAGGCAGACGGAAAATAGTTATTCTGTCGCTCTTACTCTCATTCTCTTCTAGCACTCTGGCCTGTTTTTCACCAAACTGGATATGTTTATTTATATTTAAATTCATTTCTTCTACTGCGTAAGTATTTTTAATTTAAATAAAAACAAGCAGAATATTTTTCTCACAACAAGATCTTGTACATTTCGTAAATAATATTTTTTTTTTTTGTATATTTATTTTAGCTTAGCTGGCACTTATCCTTTAGGATTGACAATACTCGGTGAATTTACTCCTGCGCATAAGAGAGCTATAATGGTGGCTATGATTGGGACAGTATTTACAATGTCATTTGGTTTGCTAGGAAGTAAGTACATTTTTTTTTCTTTATCTACATAACATAAAGAGTATTATATTATATATGCATAATAAATTTCAAAGAGCTATTAAACTGTTTATCCATTTAATAGCTGGCTGAACACAAAATGCCTGATCAACTTACAAACCCAAAGATCAAAGTCTAATTATCGCTTTCAGTACTATCGATACCAATATCCAACCTAAAGTTTTCATATCACGTGCCAATTCTGGGTATAAACCTGGTTCCCTGGCGTCTTCTAAACTTCTTGACCACGACACCAGCTGCCATTGCCGCATTTGCCACTTACCTTACATATGAGACACCAAAGTTTCTTTTAAGTGTGGGAGAGGAAGAGAAAGCTTTAGATGTGTTAAGAAGAATGTTTAAGATAAATACTGGCAAAGGAAGAGAGCAATATCAGGTATAAAATATAAATTAAATGCGCGATAGCTTAAACTTAATAATAATAATAATAATAATAATAATTTATTTATTGCAAGAATATGGTACAAATGCTAAGGTGATACAATCATAAATCGTTCGCATATTCTGCCACACACGATGGCGCGCAAATTCGTCCCAAAGAATTTTACAATATTATTCAAAGCCAATTCCTATATTATCCAGCCTATTATATTATATACATTTCATCATTAATTTTATATCATTTACGGTGTTTCATGCAAATAATAATTTATTGAATAGTAAACTTTATCCAAAAGCAATTCACTAAGTCGCTTTTTAAAGAATCTAGACGGAAGATCTTTTAATTCTTTTGGTAATTTATTGTAGACTTTAATTGCCATATAAAAGCTGTTTTTCCGAAACAGTTCCAGATTGATTTTTGGCACAGCCAAATTCTTCCCATGTCTACTTCTTACTTCAACTTCTACATTCGACTTAAAAATATGTATGTTTCTGTGCACGAATAAGGATATCTCTAAAATATAAATACATGGAAGAGATAAAATTTTGAGCTTCTTAAATAAAGGTACGCAACTATCAAGACAGTTTGCTCCACAAATTGCTCTAATACATTTCTTTTGAGCCTTAAATACCCTATTTACTTCGACTGAATTTCCCCAAATTATAATTCCATATCTAAGTATAGATGAAACATATGCATGATAAGCAGCTAATACCGTAGCATGGTTAACAGTTTCCCTTAGTCGCTTTAACACAAAAACAAAACTGTCTATTTTGTTCTGTAATTTTTCAATATGTGACTTCCAACTACAAAATTTATCTATCGTTATACCTAAAAATACACACTCGTTCATTATGTCTAGTTTATTGCTTTTATATTGTAAGTCTAATTGTGTTTTAGAGTTATATGTCTGAAAATGGATTATGTTAGTTTTGGTCATGTTTATTTGTAGATTATTGGAATTCATCCAGTTAATGGCGTCGTCTAGAGATTTAATTAAATTGTTTTTTAAGTCTTGTTCGTTTTTACTTTTTATTATAAGTGTAGTGTCATCAGCAAATAGTATACAGTTCTGGTGTATAGCATCTGGAAGGTCATTTATGTATGTTAGAAAAAGTAGCGGGGCCAAAATACTGCCTTGAGGTGTTCCGTACTCATTTTTCTTAAAATTGGATCTATAGGTTTTTTGCTCTAGTTTACAAATCTTTGTTATTTCCACATATTGCATTCTATTTTCAAGGTAACTTTTCACCCAGTTATAAGCATTACCTCTTATTCCGTAGCAATCTAATTTTTTTTAAAGTCTTTCATGACATACAAAGTCAAAAGCCTTTGTCATATCTAGAAAGATGCAACCTATAAGCATTTTATCATTTAAGCATTCAGTAATTTGTTTGACTAGGGAAAAGCACGCAAGGGTGGTAGAACAATTTTTTCTGAAACCAAACTGTTCTTTTTTTAAAATATCGTATGATAAAAAGAAATTCTCTATTTTATTATACATTACTTTTTCGAAAATTTTAGATAATATGGGAATTAAAGTTATTGGTCTATAATTAGTCATTTTTGTTTTTGCTCCTTTTTTATGTAATGGTTTGATAATTGATATTTTTAGTTTTTCAGGAAAGATTCCTTCTACTATCGATAGATTAATTATGTATGTCAGTGGATCAAGTAGGTATAAAGCGCATGATTTAATTGTTTTGGTATCTAAATTATCGTATCCTGTAGATTTTGTATTTTTTAGCGATGTAATATTTTTTAATATATCCGTGTTATTTATAGGGGAAAGAAAAATACTTTTATGATTTAGAGGGATTTTGGCTTCTGGCAAATTGTTTGTTTTATTTTTTGTAGGCAGTGAGGTAAAATAGTCATTAAATAAGTTGCATATTTCATGTGGTGATTCATATGTTTTGCTATCAATATTAATTGCTTCTATTCCTGAATAAAATGTCATGTCTCGTGTATTTGTTTTAATTACATTCCAGGCTTCTTTAGTTTTGTTTTTTGCGCAATTTATGTATTCTACATTAGTAAGCTGATGGGACTTATGTATACATTTTTTTAAAATAGATGAGTATTTATTATATGCAGATTTATTTTGTTTTTTATTGTGTTTATTTAAATGATATTTTAGGTATAACGTTCTTTTTCTTATACAACATTTTTTTAGCGCTTTAGTAAAGAATCTATTTTTGATAGGTTTGAAAGTATTTTTAATTTTTAAGATCGGAAAACATAAATTATAAAACAAAGTTATAGTGTCATGGAAGTTGTCGAATGCTTCATTTGTTGTGGTGGAGCTGTATACGTCCGAGAAGGTGAGGCTTGATAGACAATTTTAAATGAATTTCAGTTAATGACTATTGCGATGTATGAAACGTTGCAATACTCGTACATTTTAAGTTCGGTCTCTAATTCAATCTAATGATGGCTGGCTTCTAACAAAATAATTTACGTATTAAATTTATCAGTTATTATGGTAGGGGAGCCCACGATGCTAAATGGGGATTTACTCGAGCGTCGTAGAGACCTATTGGGATGCAAAGCTTAGATAATAATAAGATAAAAAATTTATATAATGTATACCTTTTTATCGGTGGGGGAAGCGGCTATAGATTATTAAATATGTAAAAAAAATCTGTTGCATGGACATCCTCGAGCGCGTCAGATATTGATAGCATCAATGCCCTACGTATTTTTAATAATGTACGTATGTTAATCTGATCGTTTGCATGATGCGGGTGGTTGCATTTAAGGGTTGAAAATGAAAAAAAAATAAAAATTATCGAGCGCGTCAGATTTTCTAAGGGAGTTTTAAGTGCACCAAAAAATAGCTCTCATTCACTAATCTGACGATTTCGATGGGACGCAAACCCACGGCCATTTTCATAATTTGCAAAAAAAAATCGCAATTTTGAAATACTCAAGCGCGTCAGATTAAGATATATGTGGTTCATCTTTATGTTCTAAACGTACTGTCTCATAATCTGACGATGATCTAGAGGGATTCGCCTGATCTGACAAAAAAAATTTAGAAAAACGGTTCACCTAAAGGGCCATCCCTGCAACTTCCCGCTAATTCCATTCCTGGGCGCTTAAAATTGATATTTTGAGCTCGCTGAGTTCAAAGAAATAATATTTCTATGCATTTGAGCTCTCCCAGCTCGAAAGTCTGATAGAAGTTTCATAGAACACTATTTTTGGAATTTTCAAACCGCAATAACTTTTGAATGGTTCAAGCAATTTTAATTGATCGAACCACAAATTTCGGAGTAATCCCGAAAAAACACTTTTTCGGGTTTCTTTCGTTCACGATATCTCTCGAACGAATCAACCGCTTTTGACCAGCTTGGTGGCGATCGACGTGGTTTTTCAAGCTCAAAGGCGGATAAGTTTTTAAGTTGATCGATAAAGAAACAACTTTAAAAAAAAATATTTCTTATTTTTTTAAGATTTGTCAAAATTTCTCAAAATCTATCGGTCCGAATCGGTTCAAATTCACAGGAAATGTAATTTTGAGGGAAATATTTAGAACGCCGTTTAGTAGATTCCGATCGGTTTAAGGAAATGTAGGCATCACGCAGCTGCACGCATTTAACTTTATCGACGAATTTTTGTTATTTCGGCTTGCGGAAATCGTCAGATTATATATTTTTCATTATTCTTGAAATATTTCCTTCAAAATAATTAGCTACGCTCGAGAATGTCGAGATGACGTTTTTTTTTACAACTTTGTTGCCCTCCCCTTTTTTTACGTCACTTTCAAATTGTCAGATTAGTGGAATATACACTTTTTAGGATGTAATTAACTCACCCTACCTTAATCTGACGCGCTCGGGAATTTCTGATGGTCAATTTTTTTTTACTAATCTGATCCTGTCTCCTTCACGGGCGGCCTTATATATGGGCCTCATATTTTGTGGAGGTACTTAACCGGGTACAAGGTATCCCCCTATATATTAATCTGCCGCGCTTTAGTAAATCCCGAAATCCCCTCTTGGGCTCCCCTACCATTACGTTTTTTAAGGAATTTCGAGGGCAACGGCGACTATTGTCAAGCGAATATATTTATTTGTACATAGGTCTTCAGTAACATTTACAATTGTAGGAAATATATCAATGCTGAAGCATTGAAATGCACAAAAACCTTTATGTGGTACAACAGTGCGTGACAACATAACCGTTTATTCAGTTGCAATTAAAAACTGCTTCAAATAAATTCCTAGTCTTAACAAACTCGGCTTCCGGAGGGTCTTATATTTCTAATCATCACTGTTAAATCAATCAACATCAATGTTAAATAAATTTCATATAATAAACATATAGAAATGTTGTCTCTGTATCTATAAATTTAGAAAAGCAATGATGCGTTGATAAGAGACAATTGCACAGTAGATGTAGATGTTATAAATTTAATGCATTTATACTATGTATAGACGATCCCATATAAAACATTCTCACTTGTTTAAATGTTTGAAGGTACATTCCTTATTCTTGGACGAATCGAGTTCAGAACCGAGCAAGAGCTTATGGGCATCTATAAAATCTCAAACAACGCCATTGCTAAAGCCGCCGTTACTCAAGAATACTCTAATTCTCTCCTTTTTATTCAGTATCGTATACTTTGTGTAAGTATTATTTAAATAGATGATTTGTAAACTAAGTAATAACACTTGGTCTTAAAAAGCAAGGAATATTGTGATGATATTGGCCTATAAGCAAATCCTTCTATAGTCTGACGTTTGATCATACAAGATGTTGGTATACATATACTATGAAATTCTAGAGATGTGAAATTATTTTTGTTTTAGTATTAATCCATTCTACGTCTGGTTACCCGTAGTAGCAAATGCTATAGTACAAACCAAGAACAATGGGCAAAATGGCCTTACCCTTTGCGAAACACTTCGGTATTCTGAAAATCTCACTGTTGCACAGGTATTTCGTCATTCTATTTGAGTACTTGCACGTTAATAATTTCAAATGGTTTTACAGAAATATATTTAGGAAGTTCAATCCGCTCCGGATGTGTCCTACACAGAAAGTAACTATTTATTTTTCAATTTCAGAGTAATGTATGTGCAATGAATAGTACGGCGATGTTCACTGTATTTATAGTGACTCTCGTGTTAGGAAGTTTGAACGCCTTTCTCAGTGCAACTATTGAACATATTGGTAAAAAGAGGCTTCTTATTTTCGTCCAGGTATTTTAAATATTGCATATTATGTATTGTGAGATTGAAGAACGTAATACCCGAAATTGTAGTATCGTCTTTTTAAAATACTTTCACTAGTACAAAAATATATGCAACAAGTAATGGTGAAAAATTATCATTCAGGGAAAAGATGTGACAATACATAAGTATCATTTAATATTTATTTTGCCAAATGACAAATCAATATTAAATGCATCATTTGTAATCATCTGTCACGTGGTCATACGAATTTATTTCAATAAGATTAATTATAATAAACTAAATTGCAGTAAATCACAATTGATAAAATATATATATTTTCAGATAATCTCAGCTCTGACAGGCTTGGGCATTAACTTCAGTGCTCACTGGGCTATGAATAGTGTTTTGTTTCTTCTCTTCTTGGTTGGAATACTAAATTTCGGCTTCCTCTGCACCTTTAGTGTTGATATGTTTCCAACGTACGTCAAGTAAGTATCAATGTTCCATAGTATAGAATAACTACACTATAAAAGAATTTAATATGTAGTAGTTATTAAACGTACTGTTAGAAGAATCCCAGTAATTGGGTTTTTAAAAAAAGAAAAATGAGTTCACGATACAATCAATTGAACTTTTATTTGAATATTAATTAATTATACGAACAGAATAAAATAAACACCAATAAATGTGTTTCCGCGACGAAGGATGATACCGAACTGATTTCATAATTTAGTTATTGTTTCACCTCTCGGTGGGAAATGCTGACTAGACAAAAGATACTAGTGTGTCAGCCAAATAGGGTGCAAGGCTATGATATAACAACCCCCCGTTTAAGAGTAAACTTACGGTTTTAGGTAAGTTTGCGAAAAGAAAAAAGGATAAGATAGTTATTCCATACGGAGACGAGGCTGAGGAATTGGGGTTTCACTGTTTGAAGAGGTATTATCTGGATTTTCTATGTCTTTGTTTGGTAAAACGCATTTATTGGCTTTTACAAAGATTATAATTGCAATACTTAAGATTATTAAAAAGGAAACTATGCTAAAGCTAAAACTAACATAGTCTGAAGGGTCATTAAGGAAATCATCTAAATCATCATCAATTGACTTAATAGGTAAATCGTGAATTAAATTCAAACTATCAAGATTCACATGTCGCAACTGGTGCGTTGAAATATTAATATTTACTTTGGAAAATTCTATCAAATTACAACAACTGTCATTAATAATGTTAAAATTTGAAACAACAGGACTTATGTTAATTTCATAAACATTTTTTGCTCCAAATCTATTTTCTTTACAAAATGCGGTACAACCGGATGTCAAGGTAAGTATTCCGGTTCCTGTTATAACAATGTCAATTATTCTATGATTACATTCAATAGTCAGTTTCTCATCATTTGATTCAACATAGAACCATTTGTTATTATTTAATTTATGACTGATAACAATTTTACCGAATATAAATTTTGTAGTACAAGTTTTAGGTAAATTTTCAACAGCTTTGGTGATTATTTCTGTTTCACATATTGGATAATTAACAACACAGAATATTCAAAGGGTTACAAATATACTGATGTCCAATTATTAAATTACAAGAATCTATATTATCAAAATTAAAATATAATTTCTTATCTTCACTAATGCCTATAAAAGGTTTCGTTGTAGTAATAAGTGCAAATGAATTTGGAGATGTCGGGTTATGTGGTACAGGGATAGGTATAACTTTATAAAGATTGTATGTTTCTACATTTACAAGAGGAATTTTTATTACAAATACTAGATGATTTTCGATTACATATGAAACTACTTTAGTGAGGTTCATTGGGATATTGATATTATCTAAATTTAACTATACAGGGAAATCCTTAAGTCTAGATACATCTTTAATATTACTTACTAAATCTACGTATAATTGCTTAGGAGTAATAATTGAAGGATGAATGGTGTTTGATTTTGAAAACAATACACTGCTTAGAATATCTTCAATTTTGAATGAAAGTGTTAATAGGCTAGCTTGTAACACACTCAAGATTTCATCCATGTTTGTTTGCAACTTGACAGAGTTGATGACCTCAGAAACGTTTTTGACGGAAAGGGATAATTTATCGATAACATCGTTCAGTAGGATTTGATTCTTATAGAGTTCGTTCATGGAAGCATTAAAGTTTGTAATTGCGGATTTAGAGATATAGATGGTTTGTTTAAGATTTGAATTAAGATCTTTATCTATTTGTTGCATTTTAGCAATTGCTTATTATATCTATGTGCGTCATCTTCATTTAAAGTTCCAAAGATATGTTTAAATACAGTTCCGATACCGGCAAACCAAGCAGATCGTTTCGATTTGGAAGTTGTAAGGTGTGATATAGACTGAAAATCCCGAATTATGTCTTTGAACAATGAATCAAGTGGTTGAATTAGATTGTGACATTCAAAGTGGTTGAATGTTCCGCTTTGTTAACATAAGTAAAGTATTGTGCTGAAAGCATTCTTAATATTGTCTATGTGAGTTGGGGCAAATGATATATCAATTGGGATCACTATGTGAATATGATCATTTATTATTTTTGCAGTACCATGTGGATCGAAGTAAATGCCAGGACTCGAGGTGATACTTAGTATGAATGTACTCTTCATTTTCGTTTCCCAGGATAGGATTATAAATTATTAGTCTGTAAGAAGAAATAGAAAATTGAGTGCAAATTATAGTTAAGTCTATCACATAGGCTTATTTAAACATTAATTAATACTTAAAGGTTTACTTAAGAATTTACCTTAATACTATTTTAATTGTATTTAGTTTTCTTCTTCAACTGCGAGCTGCAAATACTGGGAGTCAATAATTCAGAAGGAATTGAATTATCTTGTAGGTTTGGGGAGTGCTAGTCTCCTAATTGTATTAAGTCATCTAAAACTCGTTGTGCATTTATAGGAGATTCAGTATGCCGTTGATCTGGCATTAGATCAGGATTTTGTATTTCGGAAGAGATAATGGCATCTGGACTCAGGGGTTCAAAATCGACAAGATGATCAGGATTTAATGGACTAATTTCATCAAGGTTTAAAGGGGAGCCATCTCTCTGTATAGGATTTACAGGATATCGTGATAAATCATCTGCCGCAGAATTGAGTCGACCTTTACGGTAGATTATATTATAGTCATACTCCGAGAGTTCAAGCTGCCAACGTTGTAACTTACTGCTAGGGTCTTTATGGTTCATGAGCCAGGCCAGTGGTCGATGATCAGTTATTATATTGAATTTGCGCCCATAAATATAAGGACGAAAGGTTTTGCAGCCAAAGAGTATTGCAAGGAGTTCTTTTTCTGTGGTGCTGTAGTTAGTCTTGCGAACTGGTAGTAAATGTAAATTTACGATTAATTTAACTTGACGATTCAAAAGTGTACTTGGTTACCTACTTGAATAAAGATATTTTGAGTTTGAGTTTGAGTTTGAGTCTCAGCTTTATTCAGAGTTCTAGAAGCATAAGCTATTGGTATTTCTTGACCTTTAGGTCCTTGAGAAAGAACAGAACCTATGGCATATTTAGAAGCATCGCAAGTTAACGTAAATGGTAAGGAAAAATCTGGATAAATTAGGACAGGAGCAGAAGTTAGTTTAAGTTTCAATTCGTCAAAAGCAATTTGTTGTTGGTTTTCCCAGATGAAAGAGACATCTTTTTTCAAAAGAGCAGTTAAAGGTTTGGCGATTTTGGAGAATTCTGGAATAAATCCTCGGTAATAGGACACGAGACCTAGAAAGGACTTAATATCTTTTGGAGTTTTTGGAATGGGGAATTGTGTCACGGATTTAATTTTGTCTGGATTGGGTTATACACCTTTATCGGAAATTACATGCCCTAGATAAATAACTTCACGTCTCAGGAACTCGCACTTATCGGGTTGAAGTTTAAGATTAAATTTTCTAAGACGTTGAAAAACTAACTCAAGATTTGTCATGTGGCTAGAAGTCGTGAGAATATATGACAATGTCTTCTAAGTACACAAAACAACGGATATCTTGAAGACCATCGAGAGCTGTGTTCATAAGACGTTGGAAAGTAGCTGGCGCATTTTAAGGCCAAAGGGCATTCGAGTAAATTCAAAGTACCCTTGAGGAACACTGAAAGCTGTTTTGGGTGTGTCTTCTACCCAGATGGGAATTTGATGAAACCCAGAGGCTAAATCAAGAGTGGAGAAGTATTTGCTTTGTCCGAGTTGGTCTAAGATTTCGGAAATTTGAGGAATAGGGTAGCTATCTCCAATAGTAATGTCGTTTAATTTTCTGTAGTCAATAACTACACGCCATTTGCGATGTCCTGAAGCGTCAAGTTTCTTCGGGACCACCCAGATAGGAGACGACCACGGGGACATAGAAGGTTTAATGATGTCTTGCTCAAACATTTGGTCTATTTGTTTTGCTACTTCTTGTTTATGAATTTCCGGAAAGCGGTATGATTTAACATGTATAGGATTCTGGGGTGATGTATTTATTTCATCTTGGAGGGCATCAGTATGGGACAGTTTATCTCCAGGAATATGAAAGATATCAGAATACTGAGAGCATATATCGTGAAGAGCGTTAGATTCTTCAGTATTAAGGTGATTGACTCTTAATTGATTCAGTTAGCGAAAATTAAATCTTCGTGGAAATGTTGGTCTAACACAAGACCTTCTTTTATGTTAGGGTTGGATACTGAGCATTCAATAATTATTTCTGTACGAGGTGGAATTACATATTAGTTTAAGTTTTTTATGATTCTTTAGAGTTAATGAATTTTGGTTATAATCAATTATGCCTTCCAGGTCGTTGAGGAAATCATTACCAATTATTGCATCATAGGGTAAGTTAACGTCATTTACAGCGTGAAAATCAAAGGTAATGTTTTGTTTATTGCTCAGGAAGAACTTTAATGGAAACTGGCCTAAAGTTTTGGTTGCTTCGCTGTTTGAGTTTATTCCTTTAAGTAAGATTTTGGGCGGTTCGAAAAATTGTTCGTTCTGGATGCAAGATTGTTTTATTAGGCTAACTGACGAGCCTGAATCGATTAGGAATTTGATTGGGGTTTCGGATACATTTGTCTGGAGTAATACATATGGTAAGGATCTTTTTATGGCATTGGATGTCACCTCGAACACAGTAGGTGTGTCTTTAGAGTTAGAGCTTGTGGACGTATTGGATACAGTGGAATTAGGAAGTCCAAACTTCGTGGCGGAAGCATAAGATTTAGTGGGACTTTTAGATATAGTGGATACAGAGGATTTAGTCACAATATTGTCTCGTTGGTTAGTATGGCAACCATGTTGCGGAGCCTGTGGATTTGGATTAACCTGAGAGGATATTGGAGTTTTACGAAATTGACTACCATGTAGCGGAGTCAATGAGTTGGATTTTGGTTTACAGGGTAAAGAAATGGGAATACTATAATTGACAACATTGTTGTTATATGTTGTGCCGTATTTTATTCTATGACCCGCACGGCACTGACGCGAATCAGGTTTCAGTTTAAATCATCGACAACTTCATCATTATTGGTATCTTCATAAGATATCGGGTCTGCAAAGTTTACGTGGTTAGAACTACTGTTAGTTTGTGGTTGTAATGTACGTGGATTTTAATTTGTATTTTGGAATCTTTTATTATTAAATTCGCGCTTCCGGCAGTTTTCCAATGCGTGCCCTTTAGCTTTACAATATCGACAGAATAGTGACTGTGCACTGCTTAAATTTACATTATTAGGAGCGCGTTCAAAAGTTGATGTTGGTTTGTTTTGATATCGATCTCTGAATTGGTAGTTAGGGCGCGAATAATTATTTTTGTTGGGCGGCCCTTGACTTTGAGGATTATTATATCTTTTCCGAGAAGCTTCCATTATTTTCTCCTCGGAAATTGCAAAGTTTATGGCGTCATTTAACGTCTCTGGGTCTCGACACCTGACAATAGTTGAAATTTGGGGTTTTAAGCCAATAACAAAATGGTGTAGGGCTAAATCCTGCATAGCTGCAATTCGGCCAGCTAGTTCGCTCTTTTTCTTTTTTTGAGATAAATTTATTTCCGTTAACAATTTTGAAAGGCAAGATTCTACGCGTAATGCGAACTCGTTAACCGAATCATTATTTTGTATGCTGTTTTGTAAGTCAGAGAGCAGTGCCGAATAGTGTTTCTTTTCACCGAATTGTGTGGTGAGAAACTCGGAGAGTTGTTCCCATGATTCAAACTCTTTTATACTACACGCACTTTCGGCCCTACCCTCTAACTGACTTAATATGTACATAAGTAAAGCAGGGCGTTTATACTCTAGGGCTAAGTCATGAGCATTTTGGCAATTATTTAAAAATAGGACTAATCTCTCCCTGGACCCATCGAAGGGTTAAATAAATTTAAATAATACACTTAAGTCTTCTTTTTTCTGTAGACGTCGCGAACTTGACTCGCTTTGTGTAGTCATAACAATATGTTCTTATCGCGTGTTTTGGAATGCAGGGATAGACGATAAGTTCGATTAAATGTCACAATGAATAAAAAAAATATATTTTATAACTCACAGGATACTGGAGAATAATAATAGCTTCATTGGAATTTTATAAGGACTTATTCTGTCGGTGCTGGACTCAACAGTGGGTTGATCAAGGGAAACAACCCTGTGTCACTTACTGCACAGTGGACGGGAATTCGGTTGTCGCGGACACTTTTACACTTTCACTTCGTTTTTACTTTTCACTTTTACACATACATGAGACGTTCCTAGAATTAATACCCTCTAATCCCTTTACGCTGCCACCAATGTTAGAAGAATCCCAGTGATTGGGTTTTTAAAAAAAGAAAAATGAGTTCACGATACAATCAATTGAACTTTTATTTGAATATTAATTAATTACACGAACAGAATAAAATGAAAACCAATAAATGTGTTTCCGCGACGAAGGATGATACCGAACTGATTTCATAATTTAGTTATTGTTTCACCTCTCGGTGGGAAATGCTGACTAGACAAAAGATACTAGTGTGTCAGCCAGAAAGGGTGCAAGGCTATGATATAACAGTACGAAAACGCAAGTGTGGGATTTAGCTCCTAAATATATTAATCGCATCACAGATCTGTTGACCCAAGCAGTTAATATGTATTACCTTATGACCTTTTTGTATATTTTCATAACAATTAATAATAAGTGTGTTTCCAGGGCAATGGCAATATGTCTATCGATGATGATCGGAAGGGGAGTGTCAGTGATTGGTATCAATGTGGTCAAGAGTATGTTGACCTATAATTGCGAACTAGCCTTTTACTGCTTTCCAGCATTGGCTTTCAGTGAGTATTCTATTGCAGGCGATGGCAATGCTTATAAGATCGTAACCTGACCCAAAATAAATATTAACATCAACAACAATCGTCAGGCCGGGGCTGAAGGATTACGCACTTGCATATCAAAATTATACGGTAGAGGACCGTAGTGATATTAAGCAAATTGAGCATTAAAAATATTATCTATTATTAGAAGCATTACCATTTTACCCATTTCATTGTTTATAGTCGGAGCATTTACTGGTCTACTCCTGCCGGGTGATAAGAAAAGTGAAGAGATAGAAAGTAGCATATAAAAAATACTTGTATTGTAATAATAAGAATTTTTTTACGAGATAACTCCACCTGTAGACATCTCGTACCATTTATCCATAAACCTTATCATATTATTAAATTTTAAAAATTGCAGTAATAATATCTTGTTGTCGTCATATTGTAATCGTAGAAAGTGTATTGCACTATTGTTGTGATTACCTCTATTGTTGGCTATCTTTGTTATTTTTTTTATTAAGAAGTTGAGATAAGTTAGGTGTATCACATTATATTTGATAACTATAAGTAAACACGTTCATAATATAATCTTATTTTCTTCATCGGACCGCCGCGCACCACCACTATGTGTCTACATGACCACTAAACTATTTCCGAACCAATTCAACTTAGGGTCGTTTAAGAACAGATAGTATAAATTCTCAAAAGGCCGGCAACGCACTTGCGAGCCTCCTGCCCGTTTGCCGTTTAGTTGCCTTGATCAATAAAAAAAAGTGAAAGTCAGTACCACTTCGGATCGTCTGTTACTACTGTACTGTATGGCAAGACATAACCTTTTTTTTTTGTTTTTGTTATACTTCTATTAATTATAAGTGAAAAAATTATTGGTTTCTTAAAATGTCATGGTAACCAAATAGAACGTCTATGTTATAATACATTTGTTTAATATTGAAATAAACTCTTTTCCTTATATTGCTTAATCGTGAGTGAACTTTTATTGGAAAAAGCTGCAAAAAAATTAAATACACCACTGAACGAAAATCTAATCATAAATTGAAATATTAATTGTCTTAAATAGGAGTAGCATTTTTTTCATAATACAAGATGATTAAAACCTTTTAATTTTTATATTAACTGAGGGAGAGTCGCTGAAGACCAAAGAACAGTTTTCGTACCCTCTTTTTTGACGAGTAGATAGCTGAAAGAGGACAAACCTTTGTTTTTTTTATTATTAATTACTTAAAGATGTCGTGTCAACATAGACATGGTGCAATGGTTGCAGCTCCTTACAAACATTTTGTAAAACAAAGAAACTTGGCGATTAAAAGGAGTGGCGGAGAGTGTTGGAGTTTGAATGTGTCAGTAATGGCAGACAACATTTGTCACATGTGAAGTGACAGTTTTTCAAATATCGGAATGTTTATTCAAATGTTATAACATGGTTGTTTTCTGTTCTGAAACATCCTAGGGTTTTATAAACATAAGTTCTTGTAAATGTGTAATAGTGTGTAATATATAATATAATATTAACCCTTATCGTGGCAAGATTCTTTTTTAGAAGAAAAGCAAAAAAAAATTATATAGGTAGCTTCTTTGGGGCATAAAAATCATCGAAAAAATAAATAAAAAAAACGTGACATGAAAATTTTGGAAAAACAAGATGTATACTATTCTATACATTGCTACACGTACAGTGATTATCGCATTTTCAGGAATGTATATTATGCTATACATTGGTATGTTTAGGGAGAGTTGAAATGTTACTAGTAGTTTTTAATATATACCAAAAGATTATTGTAAATAACATGATTTTAAATAAAAATAACTGTCTTGGTGGACATAAAATGTTTAATAAAATTAATCTTTCTTGAACAACAAAATAATCGTAATTTAATAATTCAGAGACTCTATTGCTTGCAGTGGTACTCCAAAAAACCTTTTTTGATTCTTCACGTAACAAAGATGAACCTTACATTTTGTTCACAAAGTACTTGCCTGGCCAACTTTGCAGTACTTGCACCTCTCATATCCGGTTATTTGCGGCCAATGATCATATTTGTCACACCGGACATCATCGCATGGTTTTTCACTGAAACGTTTCGACCTCGTTTCGGTAGGCCACTGTAGATTTCATATCTAAAATCTTCTAGACGATCCTGCTTTCTAGTGGTGTTTATCATTTTGTTATGTCTGTGACGTAAAGCCAAGCGTTGTTGATGCCTACGAGTATATCCAAAAGCTGCGAGAAAATTTTCATATACCACCTGTGCCATCTTATTCCAGTGCGATATAATGCAATCAGCATGTCTGCCAAATCGACACCTCTAAAGTGACGATTATAGTCTTTAACAATTTTAGGACATTTTACATCAACACGAGATTTTGCTTCTTTGCCGAATCGTTTTATATTTTCGACAGGGTATGCATCATCATAAGAACTCACCAATGTGACCTGTTTATTATCAACCCACTTGACAATACTAAGTATATAATAATTCTTTCTTTTTCAAAGCCTTTTCAGTTAGCAGGTTAGTAGCAGCATCTTTGAGTCTATTTTGTATTTTGTCTGATTGTTCCTAAACTAAATATACCATAATTTTCCCTCAACATAATTTATAGCAGTCTTAACCCAAAGTAAAAGAAACATGCAAAAAACCCATCGTTATAGTAAAGCCAAACCATATTGTATTATAGATATATATTTATATATCAGTTATGTAGTATTTCAGTAATAATAATATGTGTATTTTTGTGGGAATCGAACCCCAACTTTGTGTGTAGCTTTCTACAACCACTATATCAACGAGGCAGTCAAACATAAGTTCAACTGTCTTTTAAATTGTAATAAAATTGGTTTAATATATAAGACAGACATACTTGCAATTTAATTTTTATAGTAAAGTCCATTAAAATATTCATTCCGTGCAGTTAGCAATGTATATTATTCTATACACCATCAACGAAAGGTAAATTGCTGCAACTGCGGCATTGTATAGTATAATATACGTTAGTAAAAAACACGACAAAAACATACTAATTCTCATAGCGACAACAGCATATATATAAAAATGTGTTAAAACAAACATTTAGGCATGTGTATTTTATAAAAAACATGCATATTTAGGAGTACAAACATAAAAATAAAATAAAACTTACTATAGATAAACCTGTGCGGCGCATTTTGACGTTTATTTTTCACAATTGATTTAAAATTATGACAGATAAACTACTATTTTTATTTTTGAAGTATAAGACGTCTAGAAATGTCATGTGTTTAATAAAACTAAGTTAAAAATGATTTTATAGTGATCATATATTTTTATAAAGTTGGATGTATGGTATACTATACAAAATGACGATAAGGGTTAACTATGAAGTCAGTGTTTTAAAATAGACCCTCAGCTCCAGAGCCCAGTCCCCTCAAATGGATCCGTCTAACAGAGAGTTTATTGCCAGTTCTTCACGTCCGTTCTACGCCTTTGATTTGAGAACAGGCAGTAAATGTAAAATTAGAAGCATTTAATTACATATATCTTTATTGACGTTCATAAGTGTACATTATGTTAACTAATGGATGGATAAATGATTTTGAATTTGAATTTGCATGAGAACTTGAATGTAGCGATAATTTCTAGGTTTTGAGTACTAAATAGGTTAAACAACCTTAAATAGACACAAGTATTGAGCACAGAATGAAAACAATCTCAATGTGACACTTGACAAAAGAGAAAGTCTTTGTCAATTCTGAGTCAACTATTGATCGATTGTAGATTGCTTATAAATATATTAGTTTTTCTTCTTATAATGGCTTCCTATGTACCATTGTTTGATAGATTTAGCATTACGATGATAGCAATGGAAGAAGTTTCTAAGCAAAATGAGATCACAATAGTTTCCTTAACTATTTTAAGAAAACTTTTATTTTTTAATTTTGTCATTAGACAAGTTCGCTTATAAATGGCCTAAGGAAGTAATAACGCAACGGCCGCGCCAGCTGAAATAAATAAATATATTTTGAAGGCGTTATAATTGTGAAGCATAATGTTAGTAACAGACTTAGGAAGAAAATCCCGAATAGGGTCACTAAAGTTACTTATTAGTCTAGCTTATTAATTAATTAATTTTTTTTTTGTTGCTCACTTGCTCATACATTAAAGGTCTTGCAAAAGATCTTGCAACCGGCGAGTAGTTTCTAAATATCGACGACCATAGTAACAGATAACAAGAGTTATTTTAATTTAGATCCACGGCTGTGAAATTAATTATTCTAGATTGACTAGTAACAAGGTAGCTGAGCACATATAATAAAATACACTTACAAAAAGCCAACGTAGCAGAAGTATAGAAAATAGCGTTGCAATGGTTCACGATAGTTCCTCCGATTAATATTACAGCCGTTAGAGATACGAAACGACCTAACATGAAGCCCAAGCTTGGTGCAAGACCTCTGAAATAAAATTATTTACTGGGTGTAAAAAATGAACTCAAAAACTACTAAACGTATTTAAAAACCGTGAACTTGTCATCTAAATATATCATCATACGTGTAGTTCAATAATAACAACAAAGTAGCCTCAAACTGATGTTAAAATAAGGTTCTATTCAATGTACATAAGAATCTTTTTGGCCATGCTGACCATAGTTGTCTCACAAAACTTTACTATGAGTAAATGTTGTATAAAGCACCTGCAGGATGTGGGATATAAGTCGACGAAATAAGATGCGATGCTCCCGATCCCAATGGCAGTTATTTGAGCCAATGTGAAGAATATTATGCTTGCTATGGGCTGTCTCAATACTATTATCTGAAAACATTTTAATCTATTAAGTAGGAAACCAATATACGTGTACTATACGTGGTCTATGAAAAATCTTCTTCAGGCATCTTTAAAGACTTAGCTTACCATAACACAACTGACTCCAGCAATAAAAAGAGAGCCCATCAAAATCTGGCGTCGCCACGTCGCCAATTTCGCAACACAAAGGTTCACTACTACGAAAAATAAACTTGCAATAATACCAGAAAAAATTGTTTCTTCAGATAATGTTCCAGTGCAGGGTGCCTGAAATTTTATAGTTAATATTATACAACTTAAGAGTTTCGTTTACATCTCACCAAGTATAGCATTGAATTGGAAAAGGTTTGTTTTAGAGTAATTTATTCAAAGAGGTCATATGACATATCACATGATGCTGCGACCTAATTGACATAAATGACTTTTTGACTTTCAACTCCAGAGAAGGTTCGTCTTTTATTTGATATCATCTTGATATCAAAATATTAGGTACTGTCGGTCGTTAAACGCTGACGCTGTAGTATTATCGATATCAAAATACGCATTCTTAGGCAGTCGTCGATCAGTACCAGAGAAAACTTGTGTCTCGTGTCTTGTGTGTCGAAACTCTGCTACGTTGAGTCCCGGACTGAGGTACTTCTCTATTTTAACTCCAAGAAGACCCAAGGTCACTTGTTTTCCGCTAAAATACCGCTACTTCTCTCTTCGAAGACACTTTTCTCAAATTCATAGACAGCATCAGAATACAGGGCGTAACTTTAATACCATCACTTACTTTAACGAACACAATAAGATATTGAACAGTCTAAATTCATATATTATTTTAAATGTAAGTTTCACTTATATTCCCCCACAATAACCAACAGCTGATCGCGAGGGGCTCTATTTTGTATCGTTGTCTGCAAGGTTTTGGCTTTCACTACGATACGAACGTTAATAGTCGAATTTGTCAAAAGCGCCGCTTGGCTAACTATAGAGTTTATCATATGACGCTGACGATTCGTTTCAAGACTTTAACAACATTTGGCCACCAATTATTATATTTTATTATTTAGTCTTATATTTTATAATTATATTCGATACGTTAGGACAAATTACATAGAGTAAACAAATGTCAAGCCCATATGTGTATGCTGTCTATTCTATTCTTCATAACCCTAATGCTGGTTGTCCAGGGGGCAGATTAGGAGTTTAAGTTTGAAGGTGTAACTGTATACAGCTCGCAAGAGTGCCGTGAAACAGAAAAATGAATGTAATTAATTAGACACCAATTTACCTAAATAGGGACTCTTCCTATGTGGAAGAGGAGAGTATAGCGGTAGCTCACCGGCAGCTCACCGGCCCTGGAGCGCAAGTTGCCATGGAAGGGCTACTTTAAAATAATATATATATATTTATAATGTAGCTTGCGAAAGGACTATGATTAAGCCTTTTAATTAGCTCTAAAGCCTAACGGAGTAATTCGCTTTTTGTGCATAACATCCATACTATCCGGATATTGTATTCAGAGATTCCTACAAAGATACTTACATTAGAGTTTCTATGCGAAACAGAGTCCTCCGTTATACTTTCACAGAATGAAACCTCCGCTCCATCTGATGAAAACGATTTGAAAACAATATCTAGCATCGTTGGGAACCACATCACAATAGTGTTGTTTCTGAAATTTTTTAAATATGACTTTCACTAAAAGATGTGAGAGATGCAACGATTTATAACACCTACACATCTCGATCTGGTAGTTAAAACATCGGATTTCTGGCATTATGGAATAATTTATAAATATCTAAGACATTGCTTTCCATTACAGGGGTAATTACATACTTTTTCCGTTAAATCCTCAGCGATATCGGTAAATCAATCGAATTCATATTGTTGTTATATTTAAACTAGAGCCATTGCTGAAGGCTCATTGTTATTGGTAGGGGAGCCCAAGATGGGATTTCGGGATTTACTAAAGCGCGGCAGATTAATATATAGGGGGATACCTTGTACCCGGTTAAGTACCTCCACAAAACATGAGGCCCATATATAAGGCCGCCCGTGAAGGAGACAGGATCAGATTAGTAAAAAAAAATTGACCATCAGAAATTCCCAAGCGCGTCAGATTAAGGTAGGGTGAGTTAATTACATCCTAAAAAGTGTATATTCCACTAATCTGACAATTTGAGAGTGACGTAAAAAAAGGGGAGGGTCATCAAAAAAACGTCATCTCGACATTCTCGAGCGTAGCTAATTTTTTTTTATTTTGAAGGAAATAATTCAAGAATAATGAAAAATATATAATCTGACGATTTCCGCAAGCCGAAATAACAAAAATTCGTCGATAAAGTTAAATGCGTGCAGCTGCGTGATGCCTACATTTCCTTAAACCGATCGGAATCTACTAAACGGCGTTCTAGATATTTCCCTCAAAATTACATGTCCTGTGAATTTGAACCGATTCGGACCGATAGATTTTGAGAAATTTTGACAAATCTTAAAAAAATAAGAAATATTTTTTTTTAAAGTGGTTTCTGTATCGATCAACTGCAAAAACGAATCCGCCTTTGAGCTTGAAAAACCACGTCGATCGCCACCAAGCTGGTCAAAAGCGGTTGATTCGTGAACGAAAGAAACCCGAAAAATTGTTTTTTCGGGATTACTCCGAAATTTGTGGTTCGATCAATTAAAATTGCAAAATTACTTATGAAGATGATAAAACTGCGTCGAATGCCGCCAACCGCGTGTTAATTGCTTGATCCATTCAAAAGTTATTGCGGTTTGAAAATTCCAAAAATAGTGTTCTATGAAACTTCTATCAGACTTTCGAGCTGGGAGAGCTCAAATGCATAGAAATATTATTTCTTTGAACTCAGCGAACTCAAAATATCAATTTTAAGCGCCCAGGAATGGAATTAGCGGGAAGTTGCAGGGATGGCCCTTTAGGTGAACCGTTTTTCTTATTTTTTTTTGTCAGATCAGGCGAATCCCTCTAGATAATCGTCAGATTATGAGACAGTACGTTTAGAACATAAAGATGAACCACATATATCTTAATCTGACGCGCTTGAGTATTTCAAAATTGCGATTTTTTTTTTGCAAATTATGAAAATGGCCGTGGGTTTGCGTCCCATCGAAATCGTCAGATTAGTGAATGAGAGCTTTTTTTTGGTGCACTTAACACTGCCTTAGAAAATCTGACGCGCTCGATAATTTTTATTTTTTTTTCATTTTCAACCCTTAAATACAACCACCCGCATCATGCAAACGATCAGATTAACATACGTACATTATTAAAAATACGTAGGGCATTGATGCTATCAATATCTGACGCGCTCGAGGATGTCCATGCAACAGTTTTTTTTTACATATTTAACAATCTATAGCCGCTTCCCCCACCGATGAAAAGGTATATATCATAATATAAAATTTTTTTCTTCTTATCATCTAAGCTTTGCATCCCAATAGGTCTCTACGACGCTCGAGTAAATCCCCATTTAGCATCGTGGGCTCCCCTACTATATGTAAAGGGTATTTATCAACAATGCCACATTATAATATTTTGTACACCTGTTCGGAAAAACTAAAATTTGACTGAGTTTCATATGAGGATGCATATTTGAACAGTAGTTCTTTAAGTATCATCGATATGAAATCGTATGTGATAAGTTAAATATATTTTTGATATTTTTTTTTAATGAAAGTTATTTTTCAGGCCATAGCTCAAATTTCCTCCAGTCGATGAGGCTTCTTCCTCATCTGATTTAACATTGGGCGGTTACTTAACGTAATCGTCGCCGACGCGCATAAAGTTACAAAACACAAAAAATACGCATGTTAGATAAAACTAGAAGACAGCTTATTTAAAAAACGTGAATACCTAAATAACTTACATAGAACAAGTAAGTGACAATAAATAGAACAGCTGCAATGTCCTCCATAATAATGGTGGCTTAAACAGTTGGCCTATTTGTTGCCCAAGTGTAACACAACAGGAAATTTCTTTGGCGACGCTGACCGTTGACTGTAGCGACTTAACCTACAAGACAAAATTACAATTTATTAGGTTTTTGAACAAGACGCATACAACTAATACTATTACAGAATACAACAAATCACTGGATCGTTTAAAACTCACCGGAAATTCGTGTTCTTGATTCCCATTCGCCACAAACATCGTCTTCAGGACCTGTAAAGCTTCATCTCCGTCTCCTCTGTCTGCTAAGAATTTAGGGCTCTCTTGCAGGGTCCACATGAAAATGGCGCCGAAACCAAGTGGAATACACAGAACCATCGAGAAAAGACGCCAAGAGTTGAATGTAATAGATAACAAGGGTATAGGGCACGCAAATGTCAAAGGTAGAATGATGTAGGCTAGACCTGTAAAATTCCAAAGAAATAAAAGGCTTTATAGTGGATTAAAAAATTACGACGCCATAAACACGCTTGAAAGTATACATTCCATGGATTAGGTTTGGGTAATAAACTTATATCTAATCTAGAATAAACGCCTCTTAATTAAATTTTATAATACATTTATCCAATATAGACAAATAGACGAAAATATAAAAAAAGATTTCTATTACATATGTGTAGTCAGTGCTACACTTTATTAGTAATCGCGTTTCAAGTTGTTCACGCCACTTATTAAATATTCTACTAATATGACTTACTTCACGATACTAATTACGCACCATAAGACAGCATTTCACTTGCTAAATTCATGCTCATCATTATGAAGATATATTGTCCTCTATTCCTGTCTCTGGTACACTCTCCGAGGTATGTCATTGTAAGCGTGAATGATGCAGTAGAGCTGGAAAAAGAAAGGTTTGTATAGGTTGATGTTTTAACATGGTAACTAATTAAATCTTTGAAATACCCGCTAAATATCTATGACATTATTTATACCTAAATACTCCGGTCAATTTAGACATTCGAAGTTACATAAAGTCCCAACAAGCTGAATTTCTGTGAAAGTGTTTATAACATAATTATAAACAATGTCTAGAAGTTCCCCATCATTCCCGTGTAAGGAATTTTTTTTATTCAAAGTCAAAGGTCAAAAAAATGAGTTTTTCACGATTTTCAGCAAAACGGTAAGTTTTATCATAAAAGTACCTTAGACAAGATTGTAGATCATAATTATCTATAAAAAATGTATCAATAATTTTTTTCTTACGAGCCACCGTTTCTGAGATATAACGATTCAAAAAGTTATAAAAGTTGTTATCGTCATAATATGCACACGTTTCCACGCCACCTATGAGGTAGTGTACTTAGCGCGTTTTTTTAAATATGGTTTCCCCAGTAGGCCTACACCACGGGTCAGTTGTGATCCTGTTTAATGTAAAACTATTGCAAAATAACGGAAATTTTCAAAGATTGGGAAAGATGTAAATTAAAAAAAAGTGTTGAAGTTTATTCGTCTTATTCGTAAGTTTCAAATTCTTGTTCTTCTTCTTGTTCTTCTTCTCCTGCTTCTTCTTCATCTTCATTTTGGATGCAAGTAAATTGCGTCAATAGCGATGTATCGCATGATACTTTGTCGGAGTCAAACGAATCCTCCATTGTTTGTGATTCAATATTAGAGAGCACGACCGGCCTTGACAATTTGTGCATGCCAAAGAACAAGACAGTCCGACTTTTTTGCAACCATATTTAGCACTGCATCCCATTTTGCAGTTGCAAAAAATAGTGTTCAGCAGTTTTTCCGGCGCAGGTGGAAGTAAAGTTTGAACTGGCTCTAGTATATTGTTGACCAACTTCCAACCCCAGTCTGTAGGGTCTAGCTGATAACCAAGCCACACTTGAACTTGGTTATATACTCGAAAAAGATGTTGGTGAACAGCAACTGAGGTTGGAGGAAGACAAGCTAATTGAACTTGTTTTTTATTTTTTGTATTTTTAACAAAACATGCATATCGATATGCTTATCTAAACAGGTAGTTTATTTAGGAGCTCCGTACATAGAAGGAAGAAAGCGGATGCCGTTGGTAATAACTTCTTGTTGAGTTGAATTACTCTTTTTAAAAATTTCAACACATTGAATTAAATCTTGTTTTTCAAACATTTTGAAAACTGCTGTTTTACCCCTCCTGTAAAATGCAGATGTCGTATCACAGCCAGTTATTGTGTGTAAAAGTAGTACATGATCTTGACACTTTACAAAAGAAAATAAACTTTTTGATGAATATATATCTGATTGATGCTGATCTTTTCCTGGTTTTAAGTATATTTATATATTATATATATTTAAATTATTATTTATTTTGTTTTATGTATATTTTATATTGTAAGTATAAGTTACAATGACCGATAGAAAAATATTTAAACATTTAATTTTTATTTTTATTTATTATATAAATATATATATATATATATTATAAATATGACAACTCTAGATGTATATACGTGGCGTACTCATGCATATTATGACGATAACAACTTTTATAACTTTTTGAATTGTTATATCTCAGAAACGGTGGCTCGTAAGAAAAAAAGTATTGATTCATTTTTTATAGATAATTTTATGATCTACAATTTTTGTATGAGGTAATTTTATGATAAAACTTACCGTTTTGCTGAAAATCGCGAAAAACTCATTTTTTTTACCTTTGAACTTGAATAAAAAATTTTCCTTACACGGGAATGATGGGGAACTTCCAGACATTGTTTATAATTATGTTTTGAACAATTTCACTGAAATTCAGCTTGTTGGGACTTTATGTAACTTCACTCTCATTTTTTGGTCTAAATTGACCGGGCTAAAATATGTCTGTCATATTGAGTAATACATATTTCCAGTAACCACCAGAGGCGCTATAAATGGTTCAACTATTGTTTCTGATACTACGATTTGACGCCGAAATATTTTACGTTAGCTTTAACTCATGGTATGCCTTAGACCTAATAATGTGTTATGGGAAATATCCAAAACACCGCCTTTCTCATTTTTTTTATAGAAACAGGACGGCTTATCTGAAGACTCTCTATGCCTAAGAGTTCGGAGGATGTTCATGTCGATCTTGTAGATCTTGCCTAAGTCGAATTGATCCTTACTTATTAATTAATGCTTAATACTTCAGTGAGTGACAGGTTCCACTTAGGGGTGGTAGGTACGCGGCTAAAACAACAGTGATAATATTAAAGAAACACTCACAAGCTACACCCAATAATCTTGAACGCTAGCATCATCTGCCAATTGACTGAGAAACTCCCTAGGAGTCCAAAAATAAATCCAATTGAAGTGGAGAGCAGCAAGGCGCTTTTCCTTCCTCGTGTGTCAGCATAGTAGCCCCATGGGTATGCAAAGAGTAAGCCTGGGAAAAAATATATACCACAATAAATAACATAAAGCCCCGTCCTTATCTGTATGCTTAGGTATTTTCTTGTGAACTCGAAAATATATATAAAAGGCTTTTTTATATTATAATACGGGAAGATACGGAACATTGGTGAGGAATTGAATCGGGATGATACAACTGTATTTCTCGGAATCACCATGGATTCAAAACTTCATATTAACGGATTGGCGAAGAGACTTAGTTCTGCAGCCTACGCGGTTAAAAAAATTCGCTCACTAACTGATGTCGATACAGCTACGCTTGTTTATTTTAGTTACTTTCATAGCTTAATGACTTATGGCTTATTATTATGGGGTCATGCTGCTGATGTCGAAACTATTTTCATCCTGCAGAAGAGGGCTATTCGTGCAATCTATAATTTAAAATGTAGGGAATCTCTTAGAGATAAATTCAAGGAAATTAATATACTTACCTTTCCCTCGCAATATATTTATGAAAATATTATGATGTATACAAAAATAGTGATAAGTTTACTAGAATAGAACATACGCACAATGTTAATACACGGAACAAACGCAGGCTGCAATTTCCCCGTACAAGACTATCTAAAGTTAGTAATTCTTTTTTGGGGAAAGGGATACTCTTCTTTAATAAAATCCCAGAGGCTCTTTTATCTCTGCCTTTCAATAAATTTAAGAAATGTATTAAAGAAAAGCTGTGTAAAAAGGCTTACTATAAAGTCAACGATTATCTAGTTGATAAAAGGGCCTGGGACTAGTGCTAGACAGGCTACTTCTAATTAATTTGCTATATTTGTTTTAAATAAGTGTTGTTTGATGATTTGCTGTTTTAAAAGAGTACCGAGAGTTTTTTACGCCGGCTTTTTCTCTCGGCCTACACCCTCTGTCTTCTTTGCCTACAAACTCAAATTTAATGACGTGGAATAAGTGATACATGTATCTTATGTTCCATAATAAACATATTTTTTTATTTCATTCGGAAATCTCAAGCTTACGATCTTCATATCTCGTCAGTGCACCAATGGATGTTCTAAGTTTCTACTCGGTGGTGATAATCATTGTCTGAAAACCAGACGTTCCTGGAAGATCTAAGTACGATATCTGTCACATATGGCTGTCTAAATATTAAATATATTTTCTATTAATGTCGTATCTGAGGTAAAAAAATCCTTTTAATAGACACTTGAAACCTGCAAACGGTGAACTAGCTAGAAGACCAATCTGGCTGATGGTAAGATCCAGATCACAGGTAGCAGCAGCTACGGTGATTGCAAAGCCAAACATTTCAAAGGCCACCGCTACTGATATCAAACTGCATACCGCTAGCACTTTATAGTTGTATCGGCCATGACCTGAAAAAAGTTTACATAGTTACAGGAATATATGCTAGAAATATAGATAACATTTTTGTTAATAAAATAAGTCATTTAATGTTTTTATGAAAGAAGTCGAAACATCAATTTTTATGTTATATATCAAATAATAATTTATTAGAATAATAATTTCGTTCCTCGGTTTCTCTGTTTGTTTCTCCCATCATTTTTAAAGTCTTAAGTACTTGCTAAGTAGTGCTTTGGAGCAATGAGGAATTAATTAATATACTGACTGACTGTTGTAAGAACATTTACGTTGAATGTTAAATTCACCGACTAGCCTGCATAGGTCAAATCGGATCTTTATTTTTGTAATAAGAGCTACATTTGTGTTTCGATTTAAATTACCAATTATCTCAAACGCGTCTCCGTAACTCCAAGATTTCTCATTATTCACTTCACAGTTAGACATTTTGAACAATACTAAAATACCTAAAACTTCGCTTTTCTCATCAATCATTATTTACTTTGTACACATTACTATCTCAACCGTAAAATTGTCATTTGTTATATCTTAAAATAAATATCTTTCCTTTTGTATGAATACTACTAATGCGGAAGTAGTTGGCTGGTGTTTTAAACGCGTCCATAAGGATGTTATTTTCTAAAATAACAATCATATGTTTTTTATTAGATTAAATTATTTCTAATGCACTGTTATTGCAAAGAAGCTTATCATCACATTTTTTAACCACCATTTTTTTTTTCATAGAGTTTACGCCATACACAAACTCAAGAAAACCTGGCATCAGTCGTTCACGAGTACAACGCATGAACCATCGCACCCTCTCTATTATAACAATAAATGATCTTGTCTCACCAGCCATTTCAAACGAAGTCAATCCTTTTACATCTTCTGAGTTAGCATCTGTTGGAAAAGATCAGGCTCATCGTGGTCTTCGTGCCATTACGCTGTACGTATATGTACCGGGAATATTACTATTATTCGTTTATTTTTTTAAACCTACTTTTAAAATCTAATGTTTGATTGTCTCTTATCTTGTTAAATAATAATAAAATGAGGGTACGTCATTTGTGTTGGCTCTTTTAAATGATAAGTTATCATAAGACAAGTTAAGGTTTTTAATAATGACTAGCCGGTATCCGCGACTTTCTCCGCATAAAATTACCATCTTTGTTAAACAATTTAAATGATAACTTAGCCAGCACGAAAAACAAAGAATATGACAAGTTCATTACAAAAACATCGTGAAAACCCGCCTTTTCTTAGACCCAAAAAGTCAAATATGTTACAAATTATGAAATTTTTATACAAAAAATTACAGTTGTCCAACTGTATTCAACATAGATTTGTGGTCTCAGCTTAGTATCTCTTCTAAACAATAATTGTGTTATGCTGGTATGGGAGGGAATCATCGAGACTGGTCATTCTCTTCCTCATTCTTGTTAACTACCACTGATGGTCGCACTTAACACTTCAAATTATAAAAAGTGAGGGTGCAATTTAACTAGCTATAGTAAAGTTTATAAAAATAATAAAAAACCTGCAAAAAACATATAAAAACTTTAAAAGAGGTCAACCTTAAGTGAAGTATATTAATGTAAGTTTTAACTCAACCTAAAAACACTTCACATATATACCTACGTATATATGTGATACTGTTGTACTTTAGTCTTTAACCCAAACATCCAGTAACTTGAACAACAATTATTAATGAAACAAATCTAAGGCCCATAACATCAAGGGTGTGTTTAGTGCTAAACTGAAGTCAGATTCCTTCCGAATTTATTAAATAAGTTATGGCAATGTCATTTTCACAAAATTTAGTATTTCATTAAAGAAAAATCAATATTGATCACTTGAAATCGTGTAGATTAAGATTTGAGTAATTATTTGTAAGATTATCTTTGATCCAACATACGTAACATGATTATTTAAGTTGTTGTTGAATTCTGAAAAATTTAATTTAACTTTCCTTAACAAAAATAATTTTTTTATTATTTTTTATTAACAATACTCTACTCCCCTGCCATTGTGTCCAGGGACTTTTTCTATCTCTAATTTTTTTACAATAAAACATGATACATTATATTAATTACAATAATCTACTTCACAAATGGTGTGTTACGCGTCTCACGAAATACGCCCCGGCTACATCGGTAATATTTTTATTTACAATATTCATGGGCGAGCCGGGGCGCAATTCCTCTCGAAACCCGCTCTTTCAGTTTGGTTTTCTGCCTTTATATATTCAAAATCAAAATCAAAATACGTTTATTCAATTTAGATGCTTCTTAGAGCATGCTTATGAATGTCAACAACGTTTACAAAATTCACGAAAGAGCAAGACTACGCCATCCGTTCGCAAAACTTGTTGTGAGGCCTTGTTCTGAGAAGAACGGGCAAGAAACTCAGCAAGTTTTGCCCTCCCTTTACATTACAATAATTCAAAGGAAAATGTCATAAACCACAACGTCATTAAAGTTACATAAGTAAAAAAAATAAAAATCTGTTCTGTGATTTACCACATTCACCATTACACACAAATCAAATTATAAGAATATAATTACAACTATTGCCAAGCGTTTTTATCTTCCAGGTAGTCATTGACTGTGTAGTAACCTTTACACATTAAGGTTTTTTTGATATGTGTTTTGAATCTGTTTAAAGGCAGTTCCAATATTTCACTAGGAATCATGTTATAGCAGCGTATACTTAGGCCCATAAATGAAGTATTTATTTTCTGCAACCTGTAAGACGGCTGGAAAAGTTTTCCCTTATTTCTTGTATTCCTATTGTGAATGTCGCTGTTCTTTAAAAGAGAACTAATATTACTACGCACAAAAACGATACAGTTGTAAATATATTGGGAAGGTACCGTCAAAATATCGATTTTCTTGAACAAATTTCTAAGTGAAGTCCCTGGTTTCAAGCAATAAATTGACCTAATAGCACGTTTTTGCAAGATAAAAATAGATTGTATATCTGCTGCTTTGCCCTATAAAAGAATTCCATACGACATAACGCTGTGAAAGTAACTAAAATATACGATTCTGGCAGTTTCCTCGTCTGTGAGTTGCCTAATTTTCCTAATAGCGTATGCCGCAGAACTAAGCTTGTCAGAAAGTTTAGTGATATGCTGACTCCATTGAAGTTTTTGGTCTATTGTAATGCCCAGAAATACCGTAGAATCAACTAAATTTAGTTTTTCATTGTTCAATTTAAGCTCTATAGTTGTAGTTTTAACATTAGGTAAAGTAAATCTTATGCATTTTGTTTTTGTGGCATTTAATTGTAAATTATTTGCAGAAAACCAGCACACTATTTCAGAAAGTGCATTGTTCACATCGTCAAAATTTGTCTTATATCTATTTACTTTAAAAATCAAGGACGTGTCATCAGCAAACAATACAATATCACATAATGGCTTTGCATAAGAAGGCAAATCGTTAATATATATAAGAAATAAAAATGGTCCCAATATTGATCCTTGCGGGACTCCCATTTTAATGTGTGATCCCGAAGATTTAGTTCCATTTATATCAACTTTATGAGTTCGACAACTTATGTAAGAGGTTATTAAGTTAAGAGCTACATTTTTTATACCATAGTGGTCCAGTTTGCAAAGCAGAGTTTCATGATCAACACAATCAAACGCCTTGGACAAATCGCAGAAAACTCCCAGTACATTTTGAGTTTTCTCCCATGCATCAATATATGTCGTAACAGAGCTATTCCAGCATTGGTAGTGGAGCGACCTTTAGTAAAACCGTATTGTGCGTTGTGTAGAAGACTGTTTGTATTAAAGAATGTAATTAATTGTTCTAGTATAATTTTTTCAAAAACTTTACTTAAAGTTGGCAATATTGAGATGGGTCTAAAATTAGTAGGTTCTGTCCTGCATCCAGATTTAAATAAAGGTATTATTTTACTATGCTTCATTAAATCTGGGAAACTTCCTTCATCAATACAATAATTGTTAAAAATATACGCAAGATCTGGGGCAATAATATTTATAATGTCCTTAATAATACGTACAGAAACATCCCACAAGTCTCCAGAATGTTTTAATTTTAAAGATTTAAAAGTTTTAACTACATCACCAGCGCTAACGTGCTTAAACTGAAAATTTATTTTGCATTCCGGTACGTGACTTTTAAGAAAACTAATAGCCTCTTTGGGAGAGGAATTCAGAGAAGATGTAGTAATTACAGGTATGTTTGTAAAGAAATCTTCAAAAATATCAGCAATCTCTGAGCTTTCGAATAATCTTATCATCTACCTATATTCTATTATATATTCTTTATATTTCATGAATGGACTTGAAGTTTAAAAACCTCAAAAATATTTTATATTTAAATTTTTTCATTCTACAATTATTTTGATTTAAACTTACATAATATTATTATGTCTTTAGATTTGAGAAATAAACATTGTTAACTTTTTTCATGACATTGCTTATTCCTATAATTAAAAATGTTATCAAAGCACATTTTTTTACACAATTGCCTCTGCCTATCTATGTGTAAGGTATACAAGAAGGTCACCAGCTGAGTGACCACGATCAGCTGGTGGCCTTCTAGATATCTCAGGAGCTGGCCGTTAATAATAGTTTCCAGTATTGGAGAACAAGAAGGTTATAGTTATTGGGCGATAGTTGGACGGATCAGAGAGATAGGAGATCGGTCTTTCTGAAGGATATATTCAAGCGGGCTTCCAGCGCTTCAAAAGCCGTTTTAGGACCGGAGCCAACTCAGGAGTACAAGTACGCAGCACAATTGGGGGGATGCCATTAGACCCGCTCAATATATGAATGGAAGGAAGATAGAGTTTTGTGGAATCATGATATAGGACAGGATAATAGAATCATGTTTAAACTCCCGCCTCATGTTGACATATTATATCAAGTTAACACTTGATGAGACCTTCACGCATTCTATAAGCATTCCTGGTGTTAATTACGATGCTCAGAAGATTGGTTTTTTTGCTGGGTGGTATAAGAAATAAAAGATGACTCAAGATTTTTAGAAAAGATGGAAGACCGGGTATCTCAATACCATGAAGTAAAGATACAAATAGCAAAACAATATTTTATTAGCCCCAAATATTTGAGATATTTTCATACTCGTGACTTTTTCAAGCACCAGTCTCTCACAATAATAGATAACATTAAGTTTATTGTCAAGTTTATAGTCAAAAAAGAAAGATGGTGAAATACCTGTATCATAAACTCGTACAGTGCAATATTAGATGCAAATAAATAAATAAAAATACAAAATACAAAAAATAAATACAAAAGAGGAATACTTACCACTACTAAATAAAGAAGCATCCCGGATTTGGTTTGGTTACCTTGAGATGGAAAGGTACATACTGAAGAGACGATTATCAAAGTAATTGATGTTTCAAAAGGAGAAGGATGTAATATAATTTGCATGTTGTTTTTGAAG